CATAGTACCTTATATGGGGACAGTTATACTTTTGTGATGTTGAATATTGTTATGCCAAGAGTTGGTAATACGGCATCGTTCGAGTATGTCATAAATTATATGAAAGTTGTAAATGATCAACAAAAGATTCGTCACTCTTAGATAGTAAGAGATTATAATCTACATTTTATTCAATTAAATTAATAATGAAATCTATGGCCAATGTGTGCTCGTAAGTCGGAAAGGAGTTTTCAACTTATATTGATTTAAGAGTTGGATGTAAGATATGATTGATAATCGAGATTGACAAACTTTCATATCTCATAATTCATCGGATCATATTAATGAATGGATTATAGTTTCACTATAAAAGAATAGGTTTGGTTTTTTCAACCACGTGACATATTCCGTCATATGTGTTCCCTGACACATTGTTAGATGTGAATTTAGGACAACTAGTATGAATTGATGATAAATTTTTAAAAAATGGTATTTTAATTTATCAGATCTAATTAGATTAAAATAATAATTCACGTCGTTAGGTATTATGAACGGGGAACATAATGAGTCACATACAAAAGGAGAATTACAAGAATGAAATATATTAATTAATTGACAGATGTTTGACAATTAATTAATTGATTTGCTTACTAATGAGTTAAGTTAGTTTATTAGATTAATTAATTTATGGACCAAATTTAATTAATTAGATTAATTAAACACTGGACATGATTGAATTTAAGTGGTTGTCAACCTCACTTGAACTTCTATTAATAAGTTGTTAGGACTGAAAAACATAATACAATTTATTATCTTACTAGCACAAGAAAAGAGAAATCAGAATTCTCTCATTCTTATTCTCTGTGTGAATTTCCATCGGAAGCGAACATTTGGACAGCTGCGGAGACTGATCACAATTGTTCTTCTCATAATTAACTAAATGTATAATTTTTAGAACAACTTCTTTTTAAAAACAAAGTAAATCATTGGTGAAAATTAAAATATTGTTTAAATTCTGCTGCTAGGTAAATTCCCAAATCTTTGGGTTTGAGGACTTTAAATGTCCTCTCTATATCCTGTAGTAGCGAGCCAATTTTCAACCGGATTTCTTTTTCTTTAGATATGTATTAGAGTAACCTGTATTTTATTTTTCTAGAGTCTAATATATTTTATCAAGTACTCAATATGCCAATGTGCCACGGATTGCAATATGCCAAGTACTCAACAATGTTACAACAAAAGGGGAGATGGAGATTTGGAAATGCATGAACATTCTGCTACATATTTGAATACTTTCTCATTTGAAGATTCTAATGCATCATTGTCGAATTTAGAAGCTCCTCTGGTCATTAACTTAGATGAAAATCTGGTTATCGATCATAAAGCAAACTCCGTACACTTTTCCTATCAGAAGTTATGAGCCAGACTTAGGACTAGAAGGAGACATGCTTCCTCAAGGTTATCTTGTGACTACGTTGCACTTGCTGTAAGTGTTATGTCCTAAATTCAATCGTTTTGGGTTGTAAACACTTTTAATATGTTTAATGCATTTTTCCCTAGCAAGATCAATTATTTATTTAAATTACTTTTCTAATAAATTATATTAAACAATAGAGTTCGTAGATTTAAGTTTTTACAATTTGTTAATCACAAGGAGTTGTGATTGTGGGATACAAATTACA